CATTTGCATTATAAGATGGTTATGAATTTTTTTTTTTTTTGTAGAGAGAAAAAGATGGCTGCTCACTTGCTCGGCCACCTCTCGGACGCTCTGCACGCTGGTGCCGTACAGATGACTGTTGTACTGCCCGGCTTCGATGAACCGGTGGCTCTGGATGTCCTTTTCCATCTGTTCCCTGGAGGACACAAAATGATAGTCTCGCCCGTCCACCTCGTAATCCCTCTTAGGCCGCGTCGTGTCTGTCAAACGAAGGACAAGCAGAGACAAACGGATGCACACGAACATCCCGTTATGAATCTCAGAACCAAGAAACAATCGCTTTTATCCGCACGTCATCCCAAAACCGCTGCTGGCGGCAGCGTCCGAACAAAAAGCACGGAGCAGATTGGTCTCCGAGAGCGACGGCAAAATTACTCACGAGGGACACAGGAGCCGAACTTATCAGGGAACTCAGACAACAGGTCGTCATTTATCCTGTCCTTCACCGGACCCAGAATGATGATCGGCCTTGCGTAATGTACTTACAAGGAGACGGAGAGAGAGAGAGAGAGCAAACAGAGCGGCTTCAATCACAAAAGAGAAATAAAAACAAAAATGAAATGTCACATTAAAGACTTGGACAGCAGGCTCAAAACATGCCTTTGTGAGGTCTTACCTTCCACTTGAGTAACCGTCTCATAACTGTGTGGGGTTTTATCTCTCCCTGGTGACAGAACACAGCAGCAATCAGCCGCTGCTCTTTTCATTATTTCAAAATGAGATCTGGCTTTGTTTCTCCACGTGCGTCTCTAAATCTGAACACGTATTTATTTGTGACGAGCGCTCCTGCTTTAATTTAGAAGACATTCAGATATTTTCCCTAAATCCTGCTCATTGGAGGCTGAGGGAGACCTGTACTTTTCTGAATGATGAAACGCAGTAATTTTTCATCTATAAACAAAGACATTGAGTTCATATCAACAAACCCGTGTAGAGGGATTCAAGGCTAACTGATCTGAGCAATCACGCAAAAGCACATCTATATGCTAATCACCTTGGGTGCCCACGCTGTCCCGACCGTGGTCCTGCAACACAGAGGAGAACAAAGATCACAACATGTATGAGAAACTCAGATTTAAAGTGCAGCGAGTGAACTTACCCTCTCTTTGGTGTTAACACGAGACCACTCTTTTCTCTCCACCCTGTTGAAACGACAGATTCTACTGACGGCCTTTTGCCAAACACAACACTGCACACACATAGTTCCTAGCAGCTGCTGGATCCCAAGGCGGGATCGTTCCCTGACCTGTGTTTGCTGGGGATGAAGCCGACCTCCTCGGCCTCGTTCTGCGGGCTGACCTTCCGGGCCTGCCACCACTCTTCATCGCCGCAGTCCAACACATGCAGGACGTCCCCAAACTTGAAGCCCAGGGCTTGACTGAGGAAACCGCAGTCCGCCGTCTTGTCGTAGTCAAAAAGAGCCCTGGGCGATGTAAGAGTCCAAAGCAAGCGTTTAATAAGGAGCTTCTCAACTTCGCTTTGACCACAGCTTTTACCAAAATGTCCACTTTAAGGAGGATTGTAACTAAAGTCGCAGCTGTGACTCTTCTGAAGGAAAGAACATCGTTATACAGCATTATTAGCTCATAAAAAAACGCTATGTAGCATCATTTCACTTAAGACGATTTTATTTTCCATTTCTATACAGACAATTTAAAGATTCACTTAACTGCGACCACGTCAAGTGAGTCTTTAATCCTGAGTTACTTTGAGTAATAAATAATAATTTAGTTGAAGCTAGAATGCTGGCAACCTCATTTCTAAACCTTTTATTTTCTCGGCAGTTTGTGAGATCTCCTTTGGTACCTGATGTAGAAGCCTCTCTTTGGGTTACTCCTTAGTGTTGTGGTCCCAGAGCCCATACTGCTGTTCATCAGCTGTTCCCGCAAGTCATGGATTTTAGCTTCAAAACGGCTGTACTCTACAAGAGGAAAGAAATACACTTATTTAATGTTCAGCTGTTTAAAATTGTTACTTTAATGAGTCAAAGTCACCTGATTTTAGAGCCAAGAAACCTTAAATATTAGAATAAAGTAACAGCTGATGCGACTTTCTGGAGTTGTTGTGAGAAAATTGATCAAAGATTGAAATAAAGTTTGAGCTGCAGGACAGATTAGTCCCTGAGGCTAATCGATCTAAAGGATCGTGTAGAAAAGTGAGACTTTCTGCTGTTTCCATTTACTGTTGTTTTTGCTTTACACAGCCTTTTGTTGTAAACATTTGAGTAAAAATGCTGGTCAGAACCAGAGCAAAAATGATCTGGATGCTGCACAAATTTAAATATTTATCTTCCGAATTGACATTTTTCCCCACAGAGAAACAGAAGAGCAGCAAACTGCAGGAAGACTGAGATTGTCATTGTGGGTTAGGAGGCAGCTTGCTAGTGCTGTTTCACTTTTCAAAAAAACAAACAAAAGAAAATATATTTCTTAACCTCAGACATGGAAATGAATGTCATTACAACAAAATGGAAAAGGAAAAGTTGTAAAAACTACAATATGTACCTTATAAAAGTGGCACAGAGATAATTGCATCAGGATTTTTTTTATCTTATAATGTGCTATAATTCTGATTCTCCCTGTGATTTGATCATTGAGTTTTAGTCCTATAAAATGTTTTGGTGTCGCTGCTATCACTTTAGGATATATTGTGGCTGCCACAGTAAACAAATGAACACACTTCGCCAGCGGTAGCAAAGCGAAATCAAACTCATCTCTCCAATGGATGACACTAATCTAATGAAACCTCATAAAAAATTTAATCATCCCCCCCAAACACATCCTCAGATGTCCTCCATGAAGGCGCTTTTATGCTAAAAGCTGCAAGTGTTACTGCTTGAGTAATCAGTCAGGCAATCTATGCAAATTATATGGAAAGCGGAGCGAAAACGTGTGCGGCGGTTTTACCTTCGGGCCTGTACTGAGCGATGATGGTTACGGTCTGGCCAGCGTTCTTCAGAGCCGCGGCAGCCTGCTCATGCGTGGCCATGCGCAAATCCACGCCGTTCACCTAAGAAATGTACACACAGCGAGAATGTTTACAGCCCCACCTGGCCGGCATATGCGCTTCAAATTTTCTGGTGACAGAAGATGTCATTACACTAAGGATCTGATCGCCCTTGTGAAGCTCCCCGCTGAGGTCGGCCGGCCCTCCTGCCAGGATGAAGGAGATAAATATGCCCTCTCCATCCTCTCCCCCTACAATGTTGAAGCCCAGACCCGTAGAGCCTCGGTGAATCAAGACTCTGCGAGGCTCTCTGCAACCAGAGTTCATCTAATTGGTTATACTGGTAAACGTTGTGGCTTAGCGATGCGACGCGGTGCTTCGAAAATCACCTGGGTATGTCGTCATCTCCCATCAGGCCGTGCAGGACAGGAGAAAAGCGACTCGGCGAGGTGGGGGTGAGGGCTTGTGGGTAATCTGATCCAAGATAGTTGGGGTGGCTAAGTTCAGTATCCATATGGGAATATGCTGGAAAAACACACGAGAAACCAAAAGAGGGATTATACAGCAGAGCAGGCCTGGACATAAAGTATGACGGGTTTTTTTCTTTTTCTGTCACGCTGGACGTACCTGAATACGTCTGAATTGTAAACCACAAACTGTTTAATGCAACTTAGAAATGAAGCGTACTCAGGATTTCAGTATGCAACTTTTTTCCTCTACAGTTTGCTCCGGTAGAAGAAAAGTTACAGCAAATAGCTTTAGCATTATGCTAACACTCCTGATACCGGATACCCCCGCAAAAATGGAAATAAAATTTATAAATGTAAACTTTCAGCCTCACAAATGAATCTTGAAAGTGCGAAGCTGCATGCTGTGACATAAGTATTTCTCCATTAAATATTTCATGTGTTTTTGCTTTATTTTTTTTCCTTCACCTACAGTTTTCAGGACATCAAACAAATTGTAACATCAGACGACCTGGGGTTTGTGGAAAAGTAACTGCCTCCCTTGTTAAACCACATTTTCAGTTTAGCTTCTAAAACCACAACCAGACCTGAAGAGTTGAGGAATCAGTGACCCTGTCTAACAACATAAAGTAGACTGAAAGATCTGGAAAGTCAAAACATGGTGAGATGATGATAAACAGAGTCGTGGAAATCCATCAGTCAGGGAAGGTTTACAAAACCATTACTGGAGCTTTGGGAGTCCAGCAAAGTGGAGGCCTTTATTCACAGAGGAGACTTCGAACTTTAGCTAAGCTTCTCGGGGCAGCCGGCCTGTCAAAATTACTTCAAGATGCCACAAAAGAGCGAAGAACAACATCTAAAGATCTGCATTTCTCACTTGAGTCAGGGTCAGTGTTCACGAACCAAATGTAAGAAAGACACCGAGCAAAAATAGCATCAATGGGAGAGTTTAAAGCGCAAAAACAGCTGTTGAGATAATAAAGCACAAAGGCTTGTCTCACATTTTCCAAAAAGCAAAAAAAACCTTCTAGGGGATTCAGGCAGGAAAAATATTCTGTGGATTGATGAGATAAAAGTATTAACTTTTAGAAAGTATGTGTGACATCTGGCCTCACACTGACAGCATTTCAGGAAAAGGAACATTATACAACAGTTAAACGTGGTGGTGGTGTGATAATTTACAGCTGAAGGAACCATTAATTTACTTTCTAACGGAAAATCTTGAAGAACGTGCAGCCATAAGTTAATGAAGTGCATGAGGTCAGTGATTCAAAGCACATCAGCAGAATAGCTCAACAAAAGCTGAAAAGCAGGCTCTGGAATGGCCTAGTTAAAGCCCAAATAGACTTAAATCCAACTTAAATCTCGTGTCACAGTCTTCAAATTAAAACTATTCTTTGAAGAAGAGGGCGCCAACATTTCTCCACAGTGATGGAAGAGATCATTTGTAAGTAAAAGTTAGAATGTTTAGGAAGCACAAACTTTTCCCCATATTGCCAACTATTCAAATTTGAACAGATTTCCGCTAAATGAATACTGCTTGTATAAACTGATACAAATGCAGCATTAACATATTTTTCAAAGTCAAAATATATGTGTCCAAAGAAATCACCTTTATGTATCAAACTTCAACTCAGAAATAAAGATTTGCATCTTTTTTTAAAAAACATAACAGTGCATATTCATCAAAAGGGGGATTGAGCTTCCACCTAAACTGATTCCTTGCTGTGTTTGCATTTCAGGTGGAAGAACTCGAACAGATTACTACGCTGTTGGTAGAAATACAAGATGACATTTAGTGTTTTCTCTCATAGATCCAGTTTCCCGGTGGACAAACAACAACATGAAGACGTGCTTACTGCTGGTGAGGTCTGGTGGGTTGTAGGAGTTTGTCAGAAAGAGGTTGTTTGGCTTGGCCACCCTGAGGTACACCACCTCAGCTGTGTTCTTCAAAGCTCCCACCGCGTCCTCATGCATCACATCCTCCAGACACACGTTGTTCACCTGGATTTTAAGAAAACACAGGTAAACATGAACATTAAGATAAAAAAAATATCCCATCTGCAGAAAACAACTTGTTTGATGTATTAATATGGCAAAAAATAAAAAATCCATATTTGTTGGTCCTATAACTCTTGTTATGCAACAACTCTGATCTACAGTGGAGACAATTTGGAACATATTTGCAAAATTAAATTCCAAAAAGTCCTTGATGTTAAAATCTGGGCCTCAAATGTGCATTTATTTCATACAGCTACATACTGTCCAGCGTTAATGTTTTTCTTTTTTTTTTTCTTTGCAGGATCACATGTTTCATTGTGGCTGCAGTTGTGCAACATAATTCTGTTTACGCTGAGTGATATGGGAAAGATGTTGATTATTTTCATGGAAAACTGTAGCAGGAAGTAGAGACTTTCCTGGCATGACAAACAGTGACAACAGAATATATAAAGTATTCCTGGTAAAAGTAACTTCCTGATAGAGAAGTAAAGAGATGCAAAAAAAACCCTTTCTAGTTGTTTAAGTTAATGTCACAGTGGATAAGTGCTTATGCACAAGATAGATGGCTATGTTTGTCTCCGTAGGGAAATTTTTTCACAACATTGTCAGCATGCATTTACATGAAAAGACACCAACATACAAACACATACAGTGACGTTAACAGCAAAAGGAGACAAACAAAACGTCCAGAAATCATAATCAGAACATGTCTTATGTAAATAACCCCCTAATCAAAACAAGATGGCAGTTTAAAGGTTAAATTTAAAATCATTTTAATTGTCTGAAGTAGCCTTAAGACAGAAGAATATGCAATTGCTTCAGTCTTAGACTCAAAATTAACCAACCAGGACAGCTACTATCTGCTGCAGTTAAGATAATTAGCCGCTCATAACTTTTAACAGAACCATCAAATCATTAAAAAAAATTCTCAACTATTCATTTAAGGTAAACATAAAGCTGTATATTTCTCACTCGTTCAAAACACAACACGAAACAAAGCTAAATTTATTTTTTAGAACTACAGTGCATTAGTTAAACATGGAATCTGCCATTCTATTGCTTATATCGACTTATGTTGAACGAAAAACACATTCTTCTTCCTTCAGTCACCTATGACATTGTGTCTGTGCATCAGTATCTCTGTCACTATGATTTAAACAAAACATATAGGCAGAAACACAGTCTGGTTTAAGGTAACTGCTTCTTGAGCATTACTTTAATCTGGACATGCACATTAGTAATGAAAACCTCTTAGAACAAACAAACAAACAAAAAAAATGCTGTGTTTAAAATTAAAGCCTTTGAACTGAGAATCATTTTGGAGTTTCTGGTGTGACTTTCTGTCTTGTCCAGCAGATGGCAGTAATGCTGCTTGAGAATCACTTTAGCTGTGATAGGAATAAATATTTACAGCTCTCAATCCTACACACATATTAAGATGGTAATGAAAGTATTGTCTGGCAGTAAAAATCACAGCTGTAATTATCTTGGCTCTGGGTCGTTACTGCTTCAGCACACAATATGTGAGTGTGTAAATGTGTGAATATGCATCCATGTGTTCAGAAGATGTGGGTCTCAGACAGTCTGTGACATGTGTTGTTTATGTGTGGGTGCGCTGGCACATTTTAATTTTTTTTTGAGTGACCGACCGCTAAGATTTTGTCCCCGATCTGCAGGCGGCCGTCTTTGTGAGCCGCCCCGCCTTCGATGATCTTGGTGACGTAGATGCTGTTATCTCCCGGTATGTGCTGGTTTCCCACCCCTCCGGCAATGCTGAAGCCTAATCCTGAGAAAAAGGAGAGGGGAGCAGAAAGTGTGGGTTAACACGCAGCAGATTTTGTAAAATCCCGAGGGCAGAGCTTACGCTGGGTGCACGGCATCTGAGTGCTCGCTCAAGAGGGTTGACGGTTTACATGCTGTAGTCGCTCACCTTTAGGCCCTTTGATTAGTTTGATTTCGGTGACTTTTTCTGCTGCTGGTTTTCTGCGGAGAACATAGAGGCGGACAATAGCACCTGCCTCCTTCAGGGCCTCTACAGCTTGGCTGTGTGTCACCTCCCTCACATCAACATCATTCACAAAGAGGATGCAGTCGTTCACGCTAAAAAAAAAAACGGAGAGAGAGAGAGGCAGAGAGATGCAGAGATAGACTGTGGGTGGGAAATGTTAAATCACAGGATGAGTTGTTCAATAGTTGTTCAGAGGCTACGTTGGAGCAGGTAGCATTTTCAACCCTTTAATTTAAAATAAAATATATAATAATAAAATAAAATAAAAGTATGGTTGACTGCACAGCTCAACTGAAAATACATCATCAATGGGTCTGAAATAAAACAATTAGCTAAACTATCCAAATTAAATGATAGCTTGCAGAATTTTGAATAGGTGTAGATGAAGTTTTAACCACAGAAAACCATTGATCTCTTAGGCTGCGTTCACACTGCGTCCTGAAGTGACCCAATTCCGATTTTTGTCAGATCGGATTTTCTTGCTGGGACCGTTCACACTCATGTCAATAAATGCGACCTGTATGCGTTCTGCAGTCTGAACGGGAAAACGACCTGAAAGTGTCCCGCATGCACAGTAGAGGGCGCAATAGCGTCAGCGTTCTCAGTGTTCTGCCGACTGCCATAAAAAGAAGAAGTGCTCAGTGTTTAGTAAACATGGAGGCTAACGGTGGAGCTTAGCTTACACATTTGAAGTTGTCTGACCGGAGCAGCATATTAACAACTTAATCCTCATTACAGTCCGTCATGGTTGTTGCTATTCTTCCCGCTTGCACGTATCAGGACGGTGAATAGTGAGATTTGTCCAGTATCAGTGACGTTCAGTTCGGATGAATGCGACCTGAACGTTAGGTCGCATTTGAATCGGATATGGGTCGCATTCGAAAAGAACCCGACCTGTGTTGTTCAAACTCTCATGAACAGATCAGATACAGGTCGCGTTACGTCCAAAAAAAAATCGGAATTGGGTCCTTATTATGGTTTTACTCTGGAATGTAACACTGGAAGCACCTAGCTCTTAAACATTCATCCAACAGTGACCTAGCCGGCTGGATAAAATGTTCTCAAACGGCTCCAGAAAGCGCCACATGTCCCCTGTTTGCCACAATGTTAGAGCAGTGATGCTGCAGGTCTTTTTCCCTTCCTAAGGCTCTGGAAACCATGCACATCACAAACTCTTTGGAAATACCACATTTTAAATACAAAGTTCCATTGGGTATTTCGACACGATAACAAACATAAACGCTGGTTTGTGGGAGTTTGCAACACTCCAAATATGTTATTGGATGTGGGAGTTTCAGCCAGAGAAAGCTGTCCCTATTTCAGAAATAAACCAATCCCTGTTGACGCTGTGTGATTGTTTTTATAAAAGCTGTCACTTTTTTTATATATTTTTATTTTTTTGCTCTTCGCTCAGAGTTTATGCATAAGTAATTTGGTATTGGTAAATAAAGCTGTATTTTCCTGCTTTACATAACAAGAACTGTAGTAATGTTTGAGAAATGTTTTCACTTTTATTATTGTGCATCTACTTGTGTTTGCTGGTGTCGAATTGCAAAGACTAATAAAAGACTTTCCTGCTTCAGTCACTTCAGACAGACATTTTTAGGTCAGTTGGAAATAGGAAGATGCCTGTGCATATTTTGTCTATTGCAGCATAATCAGCAAAACAATCTATAACCACACGTACATAGTCTGAGAGGGAAACTCTGTTCCATTGTCTTTAAGAGGAAGACAACGCTTTTATTGTCTACAACGGGAAAATAAAACCTTTACTGTATTTGACTGTAATGACCTCCTGCTACCCTTTAATGCCTTAATTTTAATTAGACATTTAATTTTCCACAGCCCATTTGGTAAAAGCACAATATTTACATCTAAGATTTGCTGCCAGTAGTTTTTCCTCATCTTTTGTTATAAAAATCTAATTGTATCAAAATTATTTTATGGCTTCCAGCTTCAGGAACATCCATGCATCCCGGTTTCATTTCTGCATCCTGGTCTCGTTTGAAGGAATATTCTACCTGAGTCGTCCGTCCTGAGCCGCGGCTCCTCCCGGTATAATTTTGGTGATGAAGATACTGGGGTCGTCCCCGACGTGAGGGTTGTCAGTACCCCCTGCTATGCTGAAACCCAGGCCCGAGTTGCCCTGCAGAGGAAAAACACAAACTTCTATCTCGAAAATCTGATTTTAAATTTTTGTGAGGAATTACAAAGCAAAAATCTGAGGACAAAGATTTGAGATATGGAATTTCCAAACTCACTCTTTCCAATGTGATTTCTTCATACTCAATTTCTCCTTCTGTCCCATTTACCTGTCAGGAGAAACCGTCATCTTTAAGCTTCTTTTTTATTTTTTTTATCTTCTGCTATGGTTCCAGACACACAATATGTTTCAATAACACACAATCCATGATGACAAATTGGATCATTATGAAGGAATGAGATCAAGTGTTTGTGACTGATAAGGCAGCGCTTCTCTTTTAGACTGATCTCACCTCTGAATGAACAACTTAACTAAAAATACCAACCTTCCTGCTGTAATTAAAAAAATCCCAGAGGTAACAGGAAACTTTCATAACAGCTGTTTTTAGGTTCTGACCCAGAAAAAGTTTAGAGTGCCGCAACTTTGTAAAAACCAACATTATTGTGGAAAGTCTCATCCTCTTTCCCGACAGCTGATAATAAAGTCGACTCTTAACTCCTGTCCATCCATCTATCCACAAAAAGTTTGCTAAAAGAACTGAAAATGTTTCTTTTTTACCTGAAATTTCTGTGTTTCTACCAAAAACTGTCACACAGAGTGAAATACTCAGCGATACCTTTGTTGCATTAAGGGTTAAGACATTGTACACCACATATAACACCAGTTATGAGGACAGCTATATAGCATGTCAAAGAAAGAAATAATTAAGAGAGCATTAAACTTTATCCTTACATATGGCGAGCCATCAAGTGTGTCAGTGTTCACCACCACTGGAGGAGTGTTTCCCTGGAGGTGGAGGGGAAGAAAAAAAAACTTTAATGACACAAAGGAATCACAGAAGCTCCAATATGACGCTGAAAGCTGCAAAAGCAGCCAAGAGTGGCGGCCATTCCAGCTCTTAGTCATCATAATACAGTTCTCACTCTGCTAACAGACAAAAAGTACCACTCCACAACCATTTGCTGTTACACCGTCCATTACAGACACAAAAATAAACCTGGCTATCTGAAATGTTTGTTCAGACTCAGCTTCTCGGCGTTGGCTTTGTGTTGCAGCAGCTACTGGCCTAATTAGATTACAGCTTGTACGTACTGCTGTTGTAAATGGTGATTTCATGAATACGGAGGACAAAGATGTCCGCCCGCTGTCCAGCGGATCTTTTAAAAGCACAGAGTTAAATTATAATACGCAGCCGCAGTGACAGAACATGGGCGATGATCCAACATGCTCCAAGGATGAAGAGGACACAGCAGAGTTGGTAAAACGATGGTGTCAAGTCACACCGTTAGCCCAATTATCCTCTGTGAGGACAATGGCTGTCCCTCCTGGTTGCCTTTCATTTTCATGAGCTGCAATGTAACAGTCAATATCATTAGTGCAAAATTAATGGATGGACCAATTATCAAGGTTTATAATAGTTATTCATCAAGAACAAAGCGTGGAACAATACGTAGAGAGTCGGTGAGAGGACAGGGATTCGGGGCATTGTTTGGCTTCAGCCTTACAGGCGAAGCTTCTCTCTTCAGCTTGTTTGAGGTGTGAGTGTGCTTGTCTTTACAATAATATGTCTTCTTAGCTTCTTCCAATGAGAACTCGAGAGCAAAGTGTGAGAAAGGATAAAGAGTGTGAAGTTGGAGGGAAATGATATATGGTTTTCACAATGTTTCACCACTAAAAAAAAAAAAAAAAACGGAGTTAATGTGAGTTCAGCCTCCCTATATATCCTCAGTTACATCTAGAAACTGAACATTTTGCCCATTTTTTTTTTTTTTTTTTTTGCAAAATATCTACAAGGCAGTCAAACTGGATGGAAAACAGGTCTTAGAATAGTATCTCAATTATACCTAATTGAGATACTATTAGGTATAATAGTATCTGTTTTAAGCAAAAGGGTGATAATCTTCTCAAACTTCAACCCTGTCTCAAGACTTCAGTAGCCTCGCTCTTCAAGGTTTTCTGAAGAAACCAACAGTATGATGCTGCCACTGCCATGTTTCACTTTTCTTGTCTCCTACATAGACGTTCTCATGACTTTCTTTCAAAACCGACTTTCTTCTTCATCCCTCCCTAACAATTTGGTGACTATGTATCATATTCCTCCAAACACACGGCTCTACTCTTTGTTGGTTTATAACACAGGTGAGCAATCTTTACACTTCTATCCTTCTAAACATGTTCTCTTTTTCTTTTTCTGAAAACCAACACAACCTTGAAAAAGAAAGAGAGCTCATGAATTTTTATTTAGGTCTAATACAAATTTAACTTTCTCAAAGGGACAACTACATTCACTAAAATCCACACCTATTGAAGATGAGGACACAGAGCAGGTGGTGTCTGACCTAATAATTAAAGTAGATAAAACAATCCACAGTTAGAGTCATTATTTTGTGGACATTTTCAGCTGATATCGCCTAAGAACATTTACAATGCTATAATGTGCCTTTCGTATTAATTTACATTTAAAAAACTTTGCTCAGTTTTGAAGAACTACTGGACAGCCACCTGCCGAAAAAGCTCTACTAATCGCTGATTCCTGCACTATTCCATCAGGTCTTGGGGGTTTTAATGCAACAACGTCTAAACAACCTCAATACTTTTGTAAGACAGACACTATTCATAAAAATCACTGCAGCATCCCTGATCTTAGCTCTTCCAGAAGCTTTTCTGGAAGGTGCAACAAAATCGAACTACAATATGCCAAGTCATATAAGAAAGCATAGGCTTGCATATTAAAAAGCAGAAACCTCTGACTCTGCTTAGCTACATTATTGTTCATTCATGTTTGTGTCCAGGACGCGTTCCGTCGTCAAGGTAATCCTGAAAGATGGAAACACACAGTGAGGCATTTGTTGGTTGGAAAGCACATCCTGTGCTTTACCAAACTGATTAACATGGAGAAGACAGTGTATCTAAAGTGCTTACAACAGCAAAGAGCAGTATGAAACCAGCCTGCTGACCTTCACAGACCTGACAGCTGCGACACACACAAACAACAAAACAGCCACACTCAATTCATTTCCCAGCTCTTAAGATAAACTGCCTGCCAGCAACGATCCCTACGCACAGAGAGACTGTATATCTATAACATGTTTTAATCAAAATGTTTTTTGTGCCAATTTTTTTGTGATGAGATGAGAGTGGCTATAGAGTTTGATTTAGCAGGAGTGACAAATGTTGGTATGAAGTCAAAGCAGCAGGAAACAAATAAAATATATCCAATATTTGTAAAAAAAAAAAAAATGCATTTTTCAAACAGAAAGTGCATTAAAGTTGGAACAACATAGATCTGGCTTTTCAACAAGGGTGTGTACATTTTGTACTGCTAATGTAGACATACAAAATCAAATTATCTGCAAGCTTTTACATTATTTATAGCACTGACTAAGGAAAGAAATAACTATTAGTTTTATATTTTTCATGATGCATGTGTTCGTTTATATATATATATAAAAAAAACATATAATAATGCTCTGTATCAACAACTATTCTGAGGTCCCTAATAACTAAAATAGCCATTTTGTTTGAAAAACCCAGTAGGAAAAAATTAGCTTCAGATATTCAAACTGATGATTTGTACATTTATAATGTGCATAGGTCAAGTCATCCAGGTTTTCTTTGACTGTGAATTATGACTAATAAATACAAGGAAGATGGATCTGTTCTTGAACTGCTTCAAAACAAGCAAACATGAACTTCTTTAGACGTCTAAGTGCATCTTACTGTTGGAGCTCAGACCTTAACAAGGGATCAGCAACTTAAAACAAGATAAATTCTTCTTCAACGAGTCACACAGACCACCAGTCGTCGTCTCTCTAGTCCTGCCAGAGTTTAGCGTCACTTTGTTATGTTTTAAATTGCCCCTGCAATCAGCGGCGGCTGACGCCATCAAAGCCTGCTCACCGTAACCTGATCGTCAGAAGGCAGAGCGTCTCGTGGAAAGAGACGCAACCTGCCACATTAATTGAGAGTAAATGTGTCTGCTGGTGTGGGTAATGGTTCTCACCTGGTGCTCAAGTGCCTGTTATGAATGTTATTACATGGGTGAAGCTTTGAATCATCTTTTTGTGGGACTACGTCTTCTAAAGGACACTTTTTAATTCAGTCAGCCAAGTCTGTTTGTGAAAATGACTCAGAAAATATGCAACTTTCAACCATCAATGTGTGTTGTTAAGACAGACTGGTAGAGCGCCTATCAATGTTGCAGCAGAGAAGATTAAGTCACAGCGCACTAACATTTACGCAGCACTAATAGAAATAATTTGCTTTACTTTGTGATTTCTCTGCAACAATCCATAGACGTGGTGACTTTTGCACAATAAAAGGTTAAAGTGTAACTCGGTGAACATGTTATATCTAAGAGAGAACATAAACCCCCACCCCCACCCCCCACCATGCTTTCCACAAATAGCTTTGGGTGTTTTATTGCTCTCTGTTCGATTGTAATGGTGCCTGTGTAAGGGCTTCATTGTGTTGCCTGGGTCTACTGCTGAACACTACGTCAAACACATCTTTATCTGGTGGGAGAGATAATAAGTATAGCCGGCAGAAACTAAGCCTACAGTGCAGACAATTTCCCTGCAGGGAATTTGACAGTGTCCTCTCTCCCACTCTGTCAAGTCTTTCAGCATCAGGGGCTGCGAGGATTTACAGGGCTTGGCTGCTCTTTCCCACCTATATTTCAACACAAGCTATTCAGCCAAGCTCTCCTCTGGCATCTCTCTGCAGACGGCATTGCTTTTCATCCTCCACAGAGGAAGCATCTATATGCAGCAAGATTATTTCCTCAAATGAAATCTGGACAATGAACTCACATACTTGAAGCTGTGGACTTCACAGCAATGTTGTTCTTATAAAGCTTGTGCGCTTACAGGCTCCTCATTCAAGAGCAATTTAACATTAATAAAGCAGAAATATTTAGAAAATGTTACCAGCTGGGATGATCAGAACAAGGGATTTTTAATTATTCACATCTGAGACTCTGTTTAAACTCCAGACTTTGTTCCATTTGTGATTATGAGATCATGAACTGTTTTCAGGGCAATATGCATTATTTGTATTGATTCAACCATTTTCTTTTATCACTTGGAAATATATTGACGGTGAAAGAGAGACTGTACTGGTTGGTGCAGAGCACTGCCTGTCTCTGCCTCCACACCTTGTAATCCTCAGACAGCCGCACCAGCCGCTTTGTTGCTATATTTAGAAAGTGTTCAGACTTCTCTATTGTTTGTTTCTAAAAAGGGATTAGCAACAAATCTTGTGAGTTTTACTGGTGTACTGGAGACTTTTGCCGAAACACAAGTGAAAACATGTATTTTTCTCCTCAAAGCAAATCCACTGCCATTTGGCTCCACCCTGACTTACTGTCAGTAAAATGCTATTTTTCTTTAAAGTTTTTCTTTTTTTCTTTTTGGTGTCTGGCCACCTTTACTGGCAGCAATCATACAGAAAATTGGCAAAAGGAAGAGGGTACGACATGTAGCGAAGGCCTCACAGGGGCAAAGCCTCTGCAGATGAGACACCCGTTTTACCACTACGTCCCTTTCCATGGCAATAAAAATGTTCTTTGAAATAAATCACTGCACTAAATAAATTCCTGAATGTGACTCACACATCTACTTATTCACCTCAACCACCATGCACCACTTTGTGATATAACCGAATGCAAAAAAAAAAAAAAAATCATTAAATAAACGGTACGAGAATCTTTTCTTAATGTTACACTGTGACATTTTGGAGGCTTCGAACCCAAACCTAAGATGAATTAAACTGAATACCTCCCCTTG